AAAAGCCGGAAGTGGTGCTGTGGCTCAAGTGGTAGAGTGCTAGCCTTGAGCTGAAGAGCTGAGGGACAGTGTCCAGGCCCAGAGTTCAGGCCCCATGACCGGACCCCGCCCCCCACCCCCAAAAAAGAATTACACTAACTTACAACAAAATATACTTTACTAGGTGAGTCAACTATATACATTACTTTCTGCATGTGCTTTGAAAGCTAATACTGACATGAAACACTAGCTAGTACCAACAGTAAGTATTTGAGAAATAGAATCAAAACAAGACATTTGAACACAACCAACCCTGTATTAATTTTCTGCCAAAGCTTGGAGGGATGTCTGCAAAGACTTCATGGTACGTACCATGAAAGAGCATGCGCTCATTGTGATGGTTGTGGTTCTCTTCAGATACTTCCTTTTGTCTGTGACAGAATCGCTCTCTCAACTTCTTGTTGACAACTTTTTGAATCTTTAATAAAGGATGAAAAAAAGAAAGTTAACTATCAATAAGAGGTAAGTTCCTAATTTACTAGGAAAAGTGTTTTACTTAGGTAGGGTCAGTTTTGTTTTCTTGTTTGTTTTACTTAAGTGATAAGAGTCATGTCAGTGGAATTCAGCTACTATTCCTTTTAATGATTTTTACTTATACTTTTTGTTATTCTGTATTTTGGGGTTAATTCTGATGTCTACTGGCATCATTTATATCTGCTAACTCCACTTCATCAAGATTTAATTTTTGGGTAAGCAAACCTATTATTACCATCAAAGCTTTAAAACTTACTCGAATGACATTGTATCTGTTAAAGATGCCACCAGCATTCCCACCATCTCTATGTTCTCGAATAGTACTCTGCATCTGTAGAATAAAATGTTTTAACTTTATATAAATACACTGGTGTATTAATTCTAAAGATATTTCCTCTGTTTCCAATATTTCAAGTTTCCCATATGGTTTCAGTGAATAGCCAAAAACTCAGAATTAGTAAATAGGAGTTCACTAACAAATTGTTTAACAAATTTAGTGACATGAGAAAATAGAGATTAACCAAAGCTCTGAAAAAAAGTGATTTCTATACCATCTCTCTCTCAGGACACCCATACAAATAGTCATCCTATTTTGACTGAAATAATTATGATTCGAGAAATTGGCAGCTGACTTCTGAACCATATGTGAAAATTAAACATATTGTTTAGAAAATAGTTCTAGTAGGATGTGTGCTTACATGAATTTCAAGGAAGTCTCCAGAAAAAAGAAATCTACCCCACATACTGGACAATAAACATATGACGTGTTATAGTTCTAATCTACAGTGGTATAATCTGAAGCACTGTGATGTTCTAACCTACAGTCCTATTTCAATTTTGGCAATATTCTATTACTGTGATCACTAATGGAGACTACTAACAGGCAAGTGATTATAGGAAGTTATAGATGAGCTTATGCTGACTAGAAAACAGGTTTAATAGGAGTCAGAAAATTAAAATTAAAATTTTTGATGTCCATTACCTCTTCTTCTACTGACTGATATTCTTTATCTTCTGGAGCAAGATCTAGCAAAATAGTTCCCTGATTTACACAATGAAAAGTCAAGTAAGGATTGGTTCCTGAAAGAGAAAAAAATAAACATGTAAAATAAAAGTCCATACTACCTTGGCCCTATGTTAGAGGAACTTAATAAATAACTGACATTTTGAGACATACCTTAAACTATTTTCATTTTCAATGTCAAACATAAGAGTGTATTTAACAACTACAACAAAGACAAGAGAATAAATTATGATATTTTAGGGAATTTATTTGATCTATTCTTTCAGAGTACCTTCTACTCAGTAGGTTTTAATAGTATTTGTTGAACTAAACTCATATCATGAATGCCCATGAAAGTATGTCTGACATTAGAGAAATCACAGTGTGTCATGTGTAAAATGTAAGAATTATCCTTTACTAGCTTCAAATGTTCACTAACATGAACTTCCCAGTTAATTTTATGTATGGAGTATAATATACAAATAACTAAGTAGGAATCTAGTTCAAAACCTCCTTTTAAGTCAGACGCTGGTGGCTCCCATCTATAATCCTAGGTACTCAGGAAGGTGAGATTTGAGGATCACTGTTCAAAGCCAGCCTGGGCAGAAAAGTCCATAAGACTCTTATCTCTAATAACTTCCCAGAAAAAGCTGGAAATGGTACTGTGGCTCAAGGGTAGAGTGCTAGCCTTGAGTACAATGAGGCTCAGGGACAGTGCCCAGGACCAGCAAACAAACAAGCAAACAGACACCCCCTTTCAGTTTCACATCATTGCAATTTTCTTAGCTCTGCATATTATCAAGTTGTTTTCCTTATCTTTTCTTGCTTTCCTATAATGAAAAGTATTTCTAAGAGAAATGATAAGCATGAAAGAAAAAGATAAGGGACTTTTGACAACAAAAGAAAAATGGAAAAACAAAACAAAACAAAAACACCTGAGTTAATGGTCAAAAAGAAGGGATAAAGGTTCAATAAGCGGTAAAGAGGTAAGATTATGAAAGCCAGGTTTTAAGTATCTGACTTTATTCCCAAAGCAACAGGATTTTATTGAAGGGTTTGAGCCCAAGAATGCTGGATCACATACTCATTCAAAAGGGTTGGGGTGGTCCGTGTGCAGAAGGCAGGGGAGGGAGGTAATAGCGGAAAACTGCAGATAAGCTGGAAAGTGATGTGATGGTCCTGGAGAGAGGTCATGGTGACTTGGGTTTGGTGAGAGCAACAAGATGGTGGTGTTTAAAAATTCCAGAGAAATGTAGGAGATAAAATGTAGGAACAGAAAGGAGAACTCACAGGTATTTTCAACTGGAGAAGTATGTTGCCAGTAACTGAGATAAGAAGGCAGAAGGTACTCTATCAGTTACATGTTGGGCTTTGGGGCCAGATTGTCTGAGCTAGAATGCCAGCCTTGACATTTATCTTGCATTGTTAACATACTTTTTTTTCTGCCAGCTTACCTTGTTGTCCACCTAAAAGTCTTTCTACTCCTTTGATTAATTTGTGGCGATGTCCATATGCGTTGATCCCTATTTCTTTCAACTCTTCATGACCCATGTCAGCCAAAACATCTAGTGTAATCTGAAAAATGAAAGTAAAAATTAGTTGCTAAATCTGTAGCAGTTCCTCAGGGAATGAAGGTATTTCCACTTGCCTATAATGTTAAGATTCCATACAAATACAACTCTTTTGTTTCCTTTATGAGCAGGACTTTATAGCTTTCCTTTCATTGCTTTAATTATCAAGTCTTTAGCTTAACAAAAATACATCTTAATTTGCTATAACTGATGTGGAATTAAAAAAGGAGCAGTATTATAGAAATATAAATGATCATTGTTGCATTTCCTTCACATTACTGAGTTCTACCATCTTTTACCTGCCTTAAGATAGATAAGACATGGATAACTCGTAAAACGGGGAAATCACAGATTCCACAGTCCAGGAGGCAGTAGAAATAAATAGTAGAGAAAAGGGAAAAGTAATTGGTATTGTGATTGGTATAACTAAACAGAATATGGTAAGCAGATTTTAGGTAAAGATAAGAAAATTCTCTGTGTCAGGAATATTCAAGCCAGGAATATGCTGCTTAGAAAGTAATGAAATGAGTGGGGCGCTGGTGGCTCACCCCTGTAATCCTAGCTACACCCCTGTAATTCTAGCTAATCAGGAGGCTGAGATCTGAGGATCATGGTTCAAAGCCAGTCCAGGCAGGAAAGTCCATGAGACTCTTATCTTCAATAAACCACTAGAAAATGGGAAGTGGTGCTGTGGCTCAAGCAGTAGAGCACTCGACTTGAGCTGAAGAGCTGAAGAATAGCACTCAAGCCCAGAGTTCAAGACCCATGGCCGACAAAAAACAAACAAACAAGAAAAAACAAAACAAAAAAAGAAAGTAATGAAATGTGGATTTGAAGTACTGAATGTGATTTCAGACCCTGTGATAAAGAAGCTATATCAGGAATTCCAATTAGGACAAGAGAGGAAGTAATTTATAAGCTCTCAAATTCTCAGATTTATCAATCTGGGCTGAAAAACACACATTTTATTTTTGCACGAAATAGCGTTTTTATTTTTGCTTATTCATCCCTGTACACGGAGATAATTAGTTGGCTCCATTAATACCTTTGTGAATGAAAGTAACTGTGACTCTAGCACCACCAAGTGGCAGTGTTCTGATTTCATGAGATGAGATCTTGGGCAGCCACACACCTGTCATTTTCAGCCCACAAGAGGCTTGTTCTGTGACAATACAATACAAACACTGGTCTACAAGACTGGCCTTTCATTTTCTTTCTTTGGAAAAGAAAGAGTAATCTTTTTTAAAAACAGACATTCATGTAAGATTCTAAACCATATCCATAGCCTTTTCTACTTTTCTACTTATATAAAATACTTTTTTGAAAAACCTGAGAACTAAGATATAGGGCTCTGCTGATTTTTATCGTCAGAGTGAAATTTTTAAGTCTGATCATCTCAGTGCAATGAACATACATTGTTCATTCTCTGAAGTAATTTACTATATTGCTGCTAAGTGGCTATTTAAGAAATAATTGCTCTATTGGACAAAATGGGCAATTCACTTGAAATCGCTCAAAGGAAGTTTTCAGTAGAGCTTTCAAAAAACACCAATCTGAAACACACATCTCTGAAACAGAATAGGATATTTCACAAAATAGGAGCCTTTATTATTTTTGGCTACATGTGATTTTAATAAAGATTATGAACCACATTATCAATAATATCCTTTCTTCTTCTAAATATTCTGTCACTTTAAGTAAAGTTGGCATAGAAATGGGATCTCATATTTATGCAACAACTACAACTCAGACACCTCAACCTTCTCTGAAGTGACATTCAGTATTTATCTAACACAAGTAGTGGGCCAGGATCAGAACTCTCTCTCTCTCCTTTCTCTCTCTATTTTCTTTTTTAGTCTCTCAATCATAAAAAAAAAAATAAAACCCAGACCTAACTATCACTACGGCCACCCAAAATACTCTGACAAATAGACATGAGGCCACTTACTTTAGAAAGCTAGGCTGAGGGTAGATCTCTTAGTCTACAATGGCTTTAAGTATCTGTGTTTGGACTGAAGTGCTGCTCTTGAGTATTGACAAGGGAACAGATTTCAATCCAGACAGAAGTCCCTAAACTTATTGATACATTCCTAACAAATACAATGCAGTTGAAGCAATGGGATATAATTCTTAGATCATGGTGCGTATCTTGGGCTCTCACTCTTGTGGAGGGCTCAGCTGGGGGAAGCTGGCTACAGAGAGAGCATGACTGCCACTTCTTACATTCACACCTTGTGTGAGCCCCTTCTTCTGGAGTGCAGGATGGCCTACTGACTTGTTTCTACCCAAGAATAATATAGCTATGGTGACAGGGTGTTGATTGGAAGATCCTTTTTTCCTCCTTGTGGAGTTTGATAAAATAAGATGCCCATTAGAGAGGCTAATGTGGTAAGGACTGAGGCCTGAAAAGATCTGCATTTGCCAAGAACCATATAAATCTGGAAGGGGATCATTTTTTCAGCTGAGACTTCAGAATGAGATTCCAGCCCTAGCTGATATTTTACTGCAACCTTATGACACAACTACACATCCTGCTCCACAAAATGTGTGTTGTTTTAAGCTGCTAGGTTTGTGGCCATTTTTTCAACAGCAACAGACAGCCAATATACATGGCATAACGCTATTCAACCACTGTGAGTGACCTTGGAAGTGGATCTCCACCAGTTAGATGAGCCTTCAGATGAGACTGCAAGACTTGGCTGACAGCTTTGACAGTAACTTCACGAGAGATCTTAAACCAGAGACAACCAACTAAGCCAGGCCTGCATTCTTATCCACAGAATCTGAGATAATAAATTATGGTTATTTTAAGCTATTAAGTTTTGGAGTAGTTTTTCTCATACTGCAGTAGATATACTAATATGTCCGTGCTATCGTTTTGTGTGTGGTGAGCCTCAGAGTATCATGATTTCTCACTCAGCTTGCTTGCTCAGAGCTGGCACTCTATTACTTTGAGTTATGCCTCTAGTCCAGCTTTTTACTAGCTAATTAGAAATGAATATTGTGGCCTTTTCTGCCCATAGTCCTTGGATCTTAGTCTCTTGATCAGTTAGGATTTCATGTGTGAGGCACCTCTGCCCAGCCATTTTGACATTTATCCAATTTGATGCTCACAGTCCCACAGAAAGAATAAACATGAAAATAACCAAAAGGAAAAAAAAGAAATCATTCATTAGGATATTGGCTAAAGGATAGAAGGAATCAAAAATATTTGGAATCTTGAAAAAGAAAGAATGGCCCAACTTTACCTGCAACTGAATACAAACGTATTACTGCAGTTCCACCAAGCCATTTATCATCTCTCTAGCCAATATTCATTATGTACTTGCTATCCATCAAATATACCAATGAAAGTTCTACTAGAGCCTTATGAGGAAACTGAGGCTAAGAAAAGTCATAAAAACCTCAGAAGGCCAGGGATATAGGTGAGTGGTAGAGTAGTTGCTTAGAATGTCAGAGGCCCTGGTTTTAATTCGCAGCACCGGCTGTGGAAAGTACAAGATATTAAAATATAATATAGCTCAACAAATGTCAAAAGTCATGATATATAACTTGATCCTTTTTCTTCCTTTCCTTCCTTCCTTCCTTCCTTCCTTCCTTCCTTCCTTCCTTCCTTCCTTCCTTCCTTCCTTCCTTCCTTCCTTCCCTTTTCCCCAGTTCTGAAGCTTGAACTCAATGCTTTTACTCTCTCCCTCACTCAGCTTGTTGCTCACAGCTGGTACTCTACTACATTTCCAACCTAGCTTTTGGCTGGTTAACTGGAGATGGAATTTCATGGATTTTTTTTTTTTTTGCCTGAACTGGTTTCGATTCTTAATCCTCCAGATCTCAGCTTTCTGAGTAGTTAAGATTATAGACCTTATATTTATTCATATTTATTAAAAGGGGTGACTAGAAACCTGAAATAACAATTTTAAATTCAGTTGCTTTGAGTTATATGGTGTCCAATTCGTTCTCATATTTAATAGGCACTACCACTGGAAGAAAAGCTACAGAATTTAGTTTTGTTTTCATTCATTTACAGCTCTCTAAAATATGAGAAATATTATTTTGAAAATCATGCTTTTAAACTATAGTAACTCACTTTATTTTAAACCTTAACTTAGGTTTATCCAGAAAATCAAATTTGTTGGGCTAATTATTTATATCTAGCACACATTAAGATATAACTATCATCTTTAGAATAAAGATCATTTGTATGTGAACTAAAATCATCCTTCATATAAAGCAAATGTCACTTCTTCTAGAGAGTTGCCTCGTTTCTGAAATCTGTCCATTTTACCTGGGATGGGAAGAGAAAATTAGCATTATAAAAGAAAAGGGGCTGAAGTAACGTTAATACTACATTTAATCAATTATAAGGGATTTGGGTAACATTGTTTGATACAAAGCTTAGTTAAATATCTATATGAAACAATACAATTTAGTTCAAAGACTTCTGAGAGTAAGTGTGGAAGTTGAAATTATGATAGTCTGAAAGATAATTTCTTGGGACCAGAAACTAAACAACGTTCCCACTCTATTGGGAGAGAGGTATCCATGAATAGAAACAAAAGGCAGGAAGATATTATAAAGTGTCTTCCCTTGGCCTCAGCTAAGCAGACAGGAATTAAGTCAGGCATGCACCTTTACTGCTCTCAGCTATATAACTATTGTGACCATCATTACTTATTACTGACTTGCTTCAATATGTTAATGTAAGAAAGAATTAACTACATCTGTTCCGTTATTACGAAGGCTAGATAAATAACATCTACAATTGAAATAAAAATAAACTTGATTACTTGACAATTGGACCAGAAGATCAGTTTCAAATAGATCAATATAAACAAAGACAATATCATTAGTCTGGAGGAAAGGAACAGCATTAGGTAATATACATTAAGTGTAGCAGTCAATATATTGACCAAAAAAAGAACATAGGAATTATTTTGGCCAAAAGAAAATCAATGGAACACTGATTTATTTGGAACAAATTTGCAGTGAAAAGGAAAACCATGAAACTGATTGAGAAAACAACCACAAAAGGATAAGCTGTCAGAAGGACTGATGGAAAACTGATCTATTAAAGTATTAAAATCAATAAAGTGAGGTAAACATGCTACTGGAAGTCAGTTGCTCATGAAGAATATACAATGAAAAGTTAGGAATAAAAAAAGGCTGTAAATCATAATGTAAACCAACTGAAATAGATTCTAAAATTCTATGAAAAAACTGGTCTTTATTGAATGATGATATGTGTGACTTTCACAATTTGGAACAAAGGGCTAAGGTGGTTAATGTAGCCAGAGCAGGAGTAATGCTTTATATAACCAAATCCTTCAGGGAAGAAATAACTTATATAACTTACTGTTTATAATATTCTCATAAAAATCTATAATACAGAAGATGAATTAAATGATAGGAAGAGGAAATTGTTTCTATATAGTCTTCACCAGTAAAGAAAAAGACTTCTTGCCTCACTGAAGCATGTTTTAAAAATTGGCAAATGAAACCATAATATGACAAAGAATTTTAACCTCCAGATATTTATAAGCATTGTAGTTTAACAGGTAATGGAAATAAGAGGTTCAATGTCTTTTAACCCAGTTTCACACAGCTGGTAAGAGGGAAAAAAATAAACCAGAAGTGGGCATAGGTCAGTGAAAAATTTGAAAACTATGTCTCATAAAGAATTTTTTTCCCGTGCCAATCCTGGGGCTTGAACTCATGGCCTGGGTGCTGTTCCTTAACTTTTATGCTCAGATAGTGCTTCATTACTTGTGCCACAGCTCCACTTTTGGATTTTTTGGTGGTTAACTGGAGGTGAGCATCTCAGACTTTCCTGCCTGGGCTGGTTATGAACTGAATAACAAAGACCATTAACTGCTACAGGATTTGGGGGAGAAGTATAAAATACTAGGCTCCCCGGGCTTCAATAGAAATGTGATATAGGTTTAAAAATAGCTGCCAATGGGGCTGGGAAGGTGGCTCAGTGGTAGAGCGCTAGCCTTGCATGCCTGAAGCCCTGGGTTCGATTCCTCAGCACCACATAAGCAAAAAGAAAAAAAAAGCCGGAAGTGGTGTGTGGCTCAAGTGGTAGAGCACTAGCCTTGAGCTAAAGAGCTGAGGGACAGTGCCCAGGCTCAGAGTTCAGGCCCCACAACCGGACCCAAAAAAAAAAAAAAATAGCTGCCAAGAAGAGAAGAAATAATAGGTGGCAATAAATAAGTTAAAACTGAATTTAAAAGATGCAAACACAGTTTTAAAAAGTTTACCTGTTCTGTTTCAAAGATATCCCGCAGGTGTTCAAGGCCAAGTGTTTTTAGGAACTGGCTGATATTCATGTCAAGACCCGCAACTAAAATAGAAAAATTAAGGTTTCTTAGAATTTATGAAGCTAAAGGAAACTTCAGTATCTAGTTTAAGCCATATATCCTGACACCTCTGGTTGGATGTATAGAAGATTTTACATAGTATGAAGTAGAATATAAAAGTTTTCTGTAAATTCTTTAAGGTACTCTGAGTTTGGTTGAGAAGTGAAAGCAGAGTGTTTTATCACATATGTAATACTTATATTAATTCTAATAATATAGGTGGAATACAGAAGTAAAATGAAAAAGTACATATGTAGAGACTATAATACAGTATTAATTCTCACATAATAAAATATATTTTATTATAGGATAAAATGGAGGATAGTTTACTATTTTTAATGAATTAAATATATAAATGTCCCAGCTCTTATTTTAGCTTTCATTCCTTAAATAACTTGTTTGAGTTTTCTGTCTGAATTTCAGTACTAAGACCTACTCATTCAACAATGGTTGGAAACTCGGGTATACATTACTAAGAACTTTTTATGGAGTGTTCTTTGTTTGTTTGTGTTTTTGAGACTGAGTTTTATCAGGTAGCTCAAATTGGCTTTGAGCTGTGATCCTCCTCAAACCCCACATGAAATATTTCTTACAACATGTTATAAGTGTGAAAATTTACAGGATATCTATAAATGAAGTATTCAGTAAGATACAGACAAGCATTCACAGGAATTCCTACCTTCTCCTTCCTTCCTTTCTGTTCCGGCTGCACCATCCCCTGCATTGGAGGCCCCTCCCACTGCCAGCTCTGCTAAAGGGCCAGTTAGGTTATCTATGCTGCTGGCAGCAGAGAGGCAGGAGGGAGTGGATGCTGGTGAGATGAGAGAGGCGCTCACTACAGTCGCCTGAGGTTTAAAACAGGTAGGTAAGGCCTCTGGGGGCATGGCATCTATCAGCAATGCTCGGATATCGTCAGCCTAAAAATAATAATAATCAAACACAAAAATATAAGGTTATAATTTTTTTAACTAAGTAGCCATTTTTGTGATTGTTTTTCTTTAATGATTAAAAATGGTTAAACATGGTTATTGGTGTATATTAGTGGAATGAGTGCGGTAGTAAGAAAAATATAAGACGTGGCTGGGGCAGGAAAGAGGGCTTGGTGAATGTCTGTCAATCTAGAAATTAGGCACTTGTTACGGATGACTAAAGGAAGGGGAGTTTGGTTCTGTGTAGATTTTTGCCAATATTGGCACAGGAAAACATGAACCTAATGTACTTGCAGATGTGGCTAGGATTTCTATAAAGAACTCTGCCAAATGAACTGGCTGGTTTATCTGCCCCTGATAAAGTACAGGAATGAACTGTAACTGTTTAGTTCACTTTAAATAAGTATATTAATCTACAATTTGCTAGGTTGGAAAATAAAATTATCCGGTATTCCAGCTTTTCCCCCGTAACAGTTTCATTAAGTAAGAAATAGCCTCACAAAGACCAAATCCAGAGTTTTGTCAATGAAACATGGCTTCAGAGAAAGTCAGTTAATATCAGCCACCCACAGAAGGTATAAGGTATTTTACTAAATAGAATTCTTTAAGGATACATGCTAGAATGCTTTCCTAAGATTCATGTTTCCCATTCTCACAAACTAAGTGGGCAGAATAGTTAGAATAGTTAACTTCTACTTTAACAGTTTTAAACAACATAAGAAATATGAACTTCATGTATTCTTATTCTAAGCAAAGTTAAGTCTGATGGAAGGTAAACCTTCTTAGACCTAGGATGTATCTCTAAAGTTATAAGGAGGATTGCCAAAAATCTGAAATGAAGACTTACGGTTGCCAAATCTAAAGGTGTCTGACCTTCTTGGTTCTTCATAGTTGGATCTGCACCATGTGCTAGGAGTAGGGCACATAACTGTGTCCTTCCTTTTTGGGCTGCTTCATGAAGAGGAGTAAATGCCCACTTATCGGTTGCATTTACACATGTATTGTATTTGATTAGTAAAGCAGCTATGTCAACATGCTGAGAAAAACAAGAAAATGTAAATAGTTAGGCATAAGTCTACCTGGTAAAGTTCCATCATGTATCTTGTTTCTACTAACAACTTACTCTATACCCGTATTTCATGCCTCTACCTATATTTTGGACTTTTTTTTTGCTTCCTCAAAGGAAGCAAGTTTCAGTTATTCTTTTATATTGTAATTCTGCGCGTAACTTTTTTCTAGTCTTCTAACATATTCAGTTTTATTTTAAAAACACATAAAATGAACCTGCTCAGGTTGTCAGGTCTTCTATTAATGGTTCAATCCACTGGTTCTCTTTTAATATTCATATTTGTCTTCTAACCTGCTATAATCAGATTTAGTTATTAAGATGCTAATTGCAAAGATTCTGTCTTTTTTCCAGCCTTTGGGAAAGTAGCATAATAAAATTAAATTTTATAAAAAAAATTAGTTTGCAGTGTTAAAAATGATTTAGAGAAGAAAAAGTGAGTGGAATGAGGTGATGAGACCCTAAGTCAAAAATGATAATAAAGAGCTAAGTTCAGATGTTTTTGGACCCAGTATTCACTGGTGGCTCACACCTGTAATCTAGCTATTTAGGAGGCTGAGATCTGAGGATTGCAGTTCTAAGGCGGCCTATATAAGAAAGTCTGTGAGACTCCCATCTCTAATCACCAAAAAACTAGAAGTGAAGCTGAAGTTCAAAGTGGCAGAGAGTTAGCCTTGAGTAAAAAAGCTCAGGGACAGCCGGGCACAGGTGGCTCACGCCTGTAATTCTAGCTACCCAGGAGGCTGAGATCTGATGATCGCGGTTCAAAGTCAGCCCAGGCATGAAAGTCTGTGAGACTCTATCTCCAGTAAACCACTAGAAAACCAGAAGTGGCGCTGTGGCTCAAGTGGTAGAGCGCTCTCCTTGAGCTGAAGAGTGCAGGGACAGCGCCCAAGCCCAGAGTTCAAGCCCCATGACTGACTAAAAAAAAAAAAAAAAAAAAAGCTCAGGGACAGTGGCCTAGACCCTGAGTTCAAGAAAAAAAAAAAAAAAGTTTTGAAAGAGGGAAAAAGGGGGTTTAGAAAAACATTCACTACAAAAAAAAGCACGTGAAAAGTCAGATAACTATGGTGGTGGGGGAGTTTACAGAAGATTAAAAAATAAAAGACTACAAGAAACTAGGTAGAAAGGAAAATGTAAGAAAGGTTAAGACTCTCTTGTAGTATATGGCTTTTGAAGTAAAGTATGAATGCAATGATACTCTGTAACTAGTTTGGTGGAAAACACTGGAACACAGAGGAGAGGCCATCACTTATTTATTGGCTTACCCTCTCCTACCCACTCACCCAACAACACTAAACACTAGCTGAATATCCAGTAGGGTCCTAAAATTTAGGATAAGGAACTCTGGGGTACTGCACTAACAGTAACTAACTATATGACAAATATGCACTAACTATATGACAAATGAGCTCAGTAAGAAGTGTACTACAGAAAAACTATTATAAGGGAGATAAAGTCTACTAACATCACTATTTTGGAAAAGGAGAATAGACAAAAGGGGTAATAAGTACAGAAAAATTTTTAATGAAGAAAGCTCCTAATGTGGCCGGGTGCCAGCTGGCTCATGCTTATAATCCTTGCTATTCAGAAAGCTGAGATTTGAAGATCAAGGTTCAAAGCCAGCCCAGGCAGGAAAGTCTCTGTGCGACTCATCTCCACTTAATCAGCAGAAAACTGGAAATGGTGCGGTGGCTCACAGTGGTAGAACACTAGCCTGGACGTTCAAGCCACATAACCAACAAAAAGAAAAAAAAATTTTAATAGGCACATGAAACATTGATTCAACAATTAAGGCTTTTTTGTTTTGGTTCTGGTACTGGGCTTGAGCTCAGGCTCTCTTGCTTAGCTTTTCTACTCATTTTACCACTTGAGTTACACCTCTGTTTCTAGCTTTTTGCTGGTTATTAGAAGTAAGAAGAGTCCCTTGGTTTGTCTGCCATGGCTGGCTTCAAGTCTTGGTCCTCAGATCTCAGCCTCCTGAGTGGCTAGGATTATAGGAGTAAGCTATTGGTATTCAGCTAACAATTAGATTATAAATAATATTAAGAATAATTTTTTATTTTGAAAACATTTAGAACTATTAGATTGGCAAAATAGTAATCATTTAGTACTTCTGAGATCCATTTCAGATTTTGGGTGCTTGACACCTTTTGGATACTGGTCACTTTTAATAATTCAGAAGCACACATTTTCTGCTGAGAGTTCCTTTTAACTCATGCTTCTGCTTAACTATATTATACTGAACTCTTTGGACTGATGTGAAAATGGGATAACATGGAGAGGAAAAAGAAAGATCCCAAGATAAAGGGTCTCTTGAAGATATACTGACTTTGAAAAAGAATAAGTTCTTTTCCTGAAACAGTATTAAAGGTTTTTAGGAAAGTACAATAATTACTGATTTCATGAATTTCAATTTTGAAGAACAAAAGGAAGAAAATTTATCTTATATTAAAGTATAGGTGAGTTATCTCCTAAAAAAAATGTTTCCTACAGCTGGTAATGTATGGCCAAAAGGGGGAAAAAAGGCAGTACACTCAAACTAGCACTTTATGATCCTTTTTGGGTCTTTGATAATTACAAAATTAACTTTAAACTTTACAACATGAAAGATGGAAACAGTGGTCCCATCTATCAAAATAAAACCTAGTAATTTATCTCTCTTATTCAATGAATGTGTGTGGGAAAGACCAATTTTTGCTCAGCAAATCCAAAAATATGGAGTAATTTCAATCTTCTCCTAAGTGAGGTTATAAGCTCTTACTGTGCTTCTCTATTTCTATGTTCACTCTAATAATAATATTATTTAGTAGACTAATTTGCCTGGACTTCTAAAATTAGATATTCCAAGGAAAATTATGAGTTTGTTTATGTACATGCATATAAAATGAGTTATGTATTATTAAACTTTCTTTATGTTGAATTTGTAGCCTTTGCTTAGAGAAATCAATTACATGTTTGTTGAATCTGCTGACAAACATCTGAAAGAGCAATGGACAGGAAGGAATTTATCACTATTCAAGTACACTAAAAACAATTCTTAAGCTAAGCCCTTTAATTGTTTTAAGTAGCTATACCACTGGAACAAAAATAGTAACTGAAAATTAAGACCCACAAATGCAATAAATATGCTGCAGCTCAGCTCTCGTCACTTTCTAACACCAAAATATCGAACTGGAAGATCTAGAAAAGGAACTCAACTTGGTTGGAATGTTTCTAGGAGAAAAAGTCAACAGTGTTTTGGAATCCAACTGCAATAGAAATGCTTTAAATGACAATACAACATAAAAAGACTGAAATGCTTTAATTAAATTTTGGAAAGGTGGGAAGGATAGGAAGAAGTGTCTAGACTCCAGCTAAAGCTACTTAAACTGAGCACTGGTGGCTCATGACTATAACCCTAGCTACTCAGAGGATTAGATCAGAAGATTGAGGTTCAAAGCCAGCCCAGGTGAGACTCTTATCTCCAATTAACCACGAAAAAGCCAGAAGTAGAGTTGTGGGCTCAAGTGGCAGAGTGCCAGCCTTAAACAAAAAAGCTAAGGAACGATGCCCAGGCCAACTTTAAGATAACACACAGTCTTTGTTTTGAAGTCATAAGATCCCTCACATATTTTTTTAGGGGAAATATTGGAAAATTTAAAAAAAATTGAGAGAAAGCTAACCAACTGATTGACATGCATTGTGGTGAAAGATGTGAGAGATAAGTCAATATTTTACATTTATTTAATAGCAAAGAAATGAACTGTCCTATGGAAGTGTACATTAAAAAACGCAAGGCAAACTAGGTGCCAGAAGCTCATGCCTGTAATCCTTGTTACTTAGAAGACTGAAATCTGCAGGATTGTGGTTCAAAGCTAGCCTGGTAATCCATTAGAACCTATCTCCAAAATAGTCAGGTTGGAGGTGTGGCTCAAGTAGTAGAATGCTAGCAGTGAGCAAGAAAACCCAGCAAACATGAGGTCCTGAGTTCAAGCTCTGCTAAAGGAGTAAAAAAGCCACACAAAGCATTATACTAAACAGAATAAGATACACTGCCATTAGTATAAACTTTCATGAACCTTGTAAAGCTTCTTAAAAGTGTATGTTTGCTCTCCACTTGGAAAAACTGACATAGCAATCCTTTTTTATATAGAAGATAGGTAAAGATACACAGCCCAAGCTCTCCAGGGTAAAAATGTTAACAATGTACTGAAGAATAATCACCAATACATAAATGCATAACTAAATAATTATGTGTTTTGAGACATCTCATTTTATTATTTTTATCTCCAGGCTAATCATTTAATCTGTGTCTACTTAATTGTGATGTTGAGCTGGTCAAACATTGGTTTGTCCTTAAAACTATGATAGTACAGGAGTGCATGCAGCCCTTATTCTGACTGGCTCAGTACAGGGACTTCAGGAAGTAAGTTTTCTTATAACAAGAGTGGTATCTTTCAGTTTACAGTGCCCATAGTTTACAGAATATACTTCACACATGTACTGACTCATGGAATCATTCTTCCCCCTCTAGGGAGTGATGGAGACTAAAAGAAAAAGGATAGGACACAGAAGACAATATGGGGGGACTTACTGTAGTTTACAGTTAAGAGTGTCATATGAGCTTCATTAGAGCAGATCATTCTACTGCTACAACCTACCCTTACAGAAGATGAAAGATTATGATTTATCTCCAAATGATCCCATTAGCTTTTTAAGGGTGTATTAACACACCTTTAATAGAAACTTAGAAAGGGATTAGTAAAATACAATATGGAGGGAAGGACCATGCTAAATGTTGAAAATGAGACACCAAATGGTATACATGTATACTTACAACTTAAAGATAAAAGGATTATACATAAAGAATATGTAGTGCACTAGTAACAGGTATTTGCATAACAGATATACAGTGGAAATAGCTGTTGCACAATGAAAATGGGAATTTATGTGAAGGAATACTAAAATGAAATTCTGAAAATGTTAAAAAATCACCTCTGGAAAGAAAAAATTCAATACTATAATTTTAGTATACAAGTTTGTGTATAATTTGTTATGTGTGTAATTTTAGTATACATGTTTGTGTATGTGTGTATGAATATATACTTATATATAAGCATATATAAGCATATATAAGTATATATTCATACACACACATATATAGCTATATAATAGCATAATCTTCAATTAGTTTATACCATGCTTGGAAATAAAATTTCTTTTCTGTTTATTCAACTGAAGTGGAATATTAGTCAAGATTGGTCTTCGCATAATGGGCTGAGAAAGATGTGGATACTGTGAAGAGCAAGGGAGAAGAGTATGAAGGGAAAATATGAAGATCAAGGTGGTAGGTTTGGATTTTATTTATAATTTATCAGGGCTTTGAAAATCTAAGAAGCATCCTCTCTTCAACAGAGAATCCAACTGTGAGGCCACCTGGCATCTGTGGATTTGTATAGTCAAACAGTGATATGAGGAAGAACAGACAAGCACAGAAACACTTCTTACTTCTACTGCAGCAAGGAGAAGGCTGTAATGACTGACAGTCTGTTCTGACAAATGGTACCTAGGCATAATAATATATTCTTCTTCTAGTTGATGTTTATAGTTACAGTGTTTGAAAAGATTATTCTGGACTCTTTTTTTTTTTGGTTGGTCGTGGGGCTTGAACTCTGGGCACTGTCCTTACGCTCTTCAGCTCAAGGCAAGCGCTCTACTGCTTGAGCCACAGCGCCACTTCTGGTTTTCTAGTGGTTTATTGGAGATAAGGTCTCGTGGACTTTCCTGCCTGAGCTGGCTTTGAACTGTGATCTTCAGATCTCAGCCTCTCGCCGGTGGCATGAACCACCGGCGCCCAGCCTATTCTGGACTCTTAACTGTGGATTTTACTTCATCTGAACACTATCAAATTCTATATCCACTACTCAACCACTTGCTTGAATATTTAAGATGCTAAATAACATAAACAAGCGTAAGAGTCCCCTGGCTTTTATAGTTTCTAAAGTTTACTTCAGGTAGAGTTGAAAGTATTTTATTTGTGTCTACAAATATCAGATAATGTAGAGAATGCAAAAAAGTTTTAAAAAGCATAGCTGTTGGATAAATGTAGTTAAATTTAACTGGAATGAGATGACCAAGATTGATATAAAATTAGAGACGCCCTGAATAATGCTGTTGGCTAGATATCTGGTCCTTAAGAGTGTATACATTCAATAGAGCAGGAAATGCCACCAATTCTTGATTTTAACTTGAACTCACCCCATAAGATGCAGCATTATGAAGAGGAATTAAACCACCTTTGTCCTGGGCATTTACATCTGCTCCATGTTCTAGAAGATATTCAGCTACTTCCAGGTTATTATAGCCCGCTATTGAGAGTAAATATGACAAACAGAATAAGAGGAAAAAAATTAAATATTCATAGATAACGACCAGAAAACTTTAAAATTTTCACTTTAAAAGCTAATACTACTCTCAGATAAAAGCCTTCAAAAGGAAACTGAACAAAACATGTCAATGAGCAGCTTGGCACCAGTATTATCCTCAGTGCCTAGTGTTTCTCTCAGCTTTTGGTGAGTGGTTATTTAAGGCAGGAAGGTGAGATCTGTAAGCAACCTGGTGCTTACCTGCCAGATGCAGCGGAGTGGAATTCCTGCCCTGGGTGTCTCTGCAGTTGATATTCTCTGGTGTACAAAGTTTCTGCACTCTTGCCAGGCAGCCCTTCTTGGCAGCATCCAACAAGGCAGCATCCCCTCTCAGCAAGTCTTGAATGTCTGTGTCTCCTTCTTTGACCAAATCTAGAGGTGTATTTCCATCTCTGTTTTTTTTAGTTGGATCTGCTCCATGCTACAAAAGAGGAAAACCAAATAGAATGTGTACTTTCTGTAAGGAGGTAGGAAGGCAGTGAACAGGGATACATTTATGGATTTCACTTACAACCTATCTTTATATACCTGGAAAGATATATATATATATATGTTCTTTATGCATCTTGTAAAAGAAAAACATCATCTTGCATTGTTATATAAATTCTTAATTTAAGTTACTATTTAATGGTGAAGGACGGTGAGTTATCTCTTACCTTCACATAATACACTTTTTCCTTTAATTATAGAAGGATATTCCAAGGTATTACAATAAAGAAGAAAGAATAAGAAGACACAGATGCAAAAAGTATCTAAAAGGTCACTGGTAAGACAAATATACTTCAAATTATTTTTTATATTTTCATTAAGTCTTAACAACTACCACAATATTAGGGATAAATGCATTAAAATTACCTTGACTTTAAAAAGTTTAATTACTTATACCTATGAAATAAACAAAAATCAATGATTTTTACTAAAGGCCTGATACAGATTGCTGCCCTACTGTAGAAATTAAGAATAATTCAAGCTAGACAACAGAGTTGTAATGACCTGGAAGTTATTCCACACCAACTATTGCCACATATACTGAGTTTCAAGACTCATGCCCTTTTCTGAAAATAGACCATATAAATGTATATATGGTCATTTTTCCTATGGCTCTTAACTTAAAAATATGTAATTATTGATTATTATTAGGTTCACAAATTACTACTTCTACTATGTCACATATATTCCCCAAATCTATTTATCTATTTAAAAATTTTGTTCAGAGATCGTGTGTGTGTGTGCGCGTGCACGCGCGTGCGCTGGGGCCTGAACTCTGGGCCTTTTCTGCTAGATAAGCACTCTACTACTGAACTACCTCTTTAACCTAGATAGACAAACATAGATATCTATGTTTGATAATGAGTTAACAATAATAAAATAACAGGAAAAAGACCAACTAGAGTGAAGAACTTGTTACTCCTTGTACCATTTTGTTCTTCTATTAATATTATATATACTAGACAAGCAATGCAAACTGAATCAAAACCCACTGTGATGAAATAACACTAATCAAATCCACTTAGAAATACATTACAGATGCTACTCAGACAGGAAATGGAAATAATCTCTATACTGCTTATTATTTTTAAGACAAATACACTGATTTGATTTCAAGTAACAACCAAAACCCAGACGATTACTTTATAATTTTGAAAGTCTAAACTACATACTTTTAGGAGGAGCTTGCAGATTTCATATTTTCCTTTGGCTGCTGCTTCATGGAGCGGGGTAAATTTCCACAAGTCGGCCACATTGACAGATGCCCCATGCCTCACTAAGAGCTCAGCGACCTCATAGTGCCCATAGGAACAGGCATTGTGGAGGGGCACCAAGCCACTAAACACAACAAACAAATCTTTGAGTCAAAACAATTGTCTTAAAAGTGATACTTTTTGTAGAATTTAGCTGTGCTCAGTACTCAGTCAAAAAAAAGTAATTTTCATTTGGTCTTTTAAGATATAATCAGCCACCTTTTTGTTTTGTTTTGTTTTGTTGGTCGTGGGGCATAACTCTGGGCTTGGGTGCTGTCCCTCAGCTCTTCAGCTCAAGGCAAGTGCTCTACAGCTTGAGCCACAGCGCCACTTCCGGTTTTCTAGTGGCTTATTGGAGATAAGAGTCTCATGGACTTTCCTGCCCAGGCTGGCTTTGAATTGCGATCCTCAGATCTCAGCCTCCTGAGTAGCTAGGATTACAGGCATGAGCCACCAGCGCCCGGCTTAATCAGCCACTTTTAATGAAGGTTAATAATTTTTTTTAATGGTCCTTTAAATGTCAGGGCTTTTCTTCTGTTTCCTGGGAGTGGATATACATGTCACAGCAATCATTAGCATTAAAGTACATATGGGAAGATACTTCCAAAATAAAATTCCAGGACAATATTTAACCCAGATTTTAAAATATAAAAATTGATGCCAACTTTATAAATCCATAACTAGTTATCAATGTGGCTTCACCATCTTTCACATCTTTTACATCTTTCACATCTTTTGGGATTTTACTAATAAAAATTGTAGCTGGGTGTGGCCTATAAGCCCACATTTGGAGGCTGAGGCTAGATTTCCAAGTTTGAGGCTAAGCTTGAATACACAGTGACAGAGAAAGAAAATGAGAATTGCATACTTAACTTCTAAGACACACAATGAAATTCTACTTACTTGAGCAGGTTCTAGTTTTAGGGTATTTTCCCCCGTTTTTACAAATTTTATTTCATTTTTGGCAATGCTGACTGAATCAGGGCCTTGTATTTATTAGGCAAACAATCTACCAACTGAGCTTTTTCCCCAGCCTTTGCTTCTGAATATTTTCATTAGTAATGATCTGTTGATGTTTCCAAGATTAACGGTTTAGATATTGAGGTGCTACACAGTGAAAATCTGCAACACAGTGATTCTGATATTCACAAGGGAAAACAATGATGAAGTTTTTTCTTTTTTTTTAATGTTTGGCAGAACTCAAAATTGAACTCAGAGCCTCATGCATGCTAGGCAAGTGCTCTATGATCCGAACTATAAATTTGTTCAAAGATTTTACAGAGCTAGTAGGGTGTGGATTCTTCTGTTTTGGTGGTAGTGGTGGTGGTACGGGGTAGGTGGTGGTTGCGGTTTGAGATCAGTCTTGTACTTACTAGACAAGTACACACTACTTGAGCTGTCTGTAGCTCAATAACAAAGATAAGAAACTTTTTTATTTCCTTAACTTACTAGCAAAGTTATTTTGAGGTAAATTCTGATTAGAATGAAGGAGATGTTCTAAAATTTAGGACAAAAAGATGCTTCATAAAAATGGGTTTATCAGAAAGGTAAGTTACATTTAAGATATGCCAAAAACAAGGTAAGACTTGCCTTTTTATTTAGAGATTAATGCCATTTGAAAACTGGTTTGTGCAGCTGGGCATAGTGGCTAGTGCTTGTAATCTCAGTTACTCAGAATGCAAGACTGGGACTGAAGTTCATGGCCAGTCTGGGCAAAAAATTAGAATCCATCTCAACAAATAAGTAGAGAGTAGTGTGCATGCCTGTGTCACAGCTAGATGGATGATAACTATAAGGTAGGAGCAGTGGTCTTGGACAAAAGTCCAGACTCTATTAGAAAAAGACAAAAAAAGGGTTGGGGTGTGGTATATGAAGCAGAGCAACTACTTACTTAGCAAGTGCAAGGCCTGGACTTCAAAAATCCACAGTAATAGCCCAGTGCCAGTGGCTCACACCTGTAATCTGAATCCAGAGGCTGAGATCTGAGGATCTCAGTTTGAAGCCAGTTAGACAGGAAAGTCCCTGAGATTTTTTTTTTGGGTCCGGTCATGGGGCCTGAACTCTGGGCCTGGGTGCTGTCCCTCAGCTCTTCAGCTCAAGGCTAGCGCTCTACCACTTGAGCCACAGCGCCACTTCCGGCTTTTTTCTTTTTGCTTATGTGGTGCTGAGGAATCGAACCCAGGGCCTTAGGCATGCAAGGCAAGCGCTCTACCACTGAGCCACCTTCTCAGCCCTCCCTGAGATTCTTATATCTAATGAATTACCAAAAAGCTGGAATGCAGCTGGGTTCAAGTGGTAGAGCACTAGTGCCCTTAGTTCAAGCCCCAGGATCAGCAACCCCCCTCCCCAAAGGAAACAAATCCCTAGTGCTTTAAAAAAAAAAAAAAGCTTTGCAGGGTGTTAAAATGGGTAATAGGATAAAAACAAATATTGGTTGTTCTCTAATGTACTGTACTATTTTGAAAGTCCCAGTAGTATAGTTATTGTATGCTATATATAATGCATCTCTTTAAAAAGATAACTAAACACATGATGGTAAGTAAAGCCTAAAAAATGCAGTTTCATCCTATAGTATATGGCTATGTAATTGCACAGAAAAATGTTGTATTGATATGAAATTTGTATTGATATGAAATTAACTCAAGAATGGGAAAACTCAATCTCTTTATACATTTCTGAGTAAGTTCCATGACTGCTTTACATACTGCCTGGATAAAGTCAAATAATCTACCAAACTACCACAAAACATAGAATATTTTAAAGTATTTTGCAATGTAGAATATTTTGTTTGGTAAAATTTTATTAAATAAAATAATTTTATTAAATAAAATTATGTTTCTGTTGATATTGATGCCTCTGGAATGAATAGTTTTTTGGAAAAGATTATGTATGTTTAACAAGTAAAGGGGGAGATAAATAACAAGCAATATGAAAGCCTTCATATTATGAATGTAATAAACCCTATAGATGAGCCTTAAGATATTCAGATGAGCTACTAAATACTGATATATTACTGGGTAAAAGAAAGCAAACTATAAGGCAGACTGTATAGGATGGTATCATTTTTGTTAAATCTGCCACTATCACATATACCCTAGTTTACCATTTGAAATAATTACAGAATTACATACAAAAATGTTATGATTTATCTGCAGAGAATAGGATAATAGAATTTTCTTTTCTTTTTTTTTTTTTGTCAGTCATAGGGCTTGAACTCTGGGCCTGAGTGCTCTGTCCATCAGCTCTTTAACTCAAGGCTCTACCACTTGAGCTACAGCGCTACTTCCAGTTTTCTGGTGGTCTATTGGAAATAAGAGTTTCACGGACTTTCTTGCCTGGGCTGGCTTTGAACTGCGATCCTCAGATCTCAGCCTTCTGAGTAGCTAGGATTACAGGTGTGAGCTAATGGTGCTCGGCAAATTTTCATTTTTTGTACAGTAAGTTTCTGTATTTTAATTCATGTTAATATTTTTTTAGGTCTCACATCAGGACTTGAACTTGTACCTGACACTTCAGCTTCTATCCAACCACTCATTATTTTTTAAGGGGGAAAAAAGCTAAAACTTCAAAAACATTTAACATATCTTACAACGTATGAAAGGAATAAATCCCAAACAGCTGAGTTTTCACATACCCCTTGTCTTTAGCATGGACATCGGCACCATGGTGTAGAAGGTACTCCACGACAGACACACGATTGTAACCTGCCGCGAAGTGTAAGGGGGTAGAATGCCGGCCCTCCAGGTCTCTGCAATTCACATTTTGTGGGCTGCAAAGTTGCTTTTATGATTCAAACAGAGACAAACACAAAAGGAATAATATTTATTCTTAGATTTTTCTCTATAATAGGGTAACATCTTAGATATACCATAATTTCTAATGAATACTTCTAAAGATTGGAAACACACATGATGTCTCAAATAAAGCATTATGCTTAACTTTCAGTGACTACACATTCTCATCACGTAGATGATCATTTCATCTGTCAACATCTCCTGGCCCAAATCCCAAAGAACAAGATAGGCACTTCCAAGCATATGAAGCCTTCCTCTTCCCTGTAAGTCTTCCCTCCTAAGACTGCTTGTCACTATGTATCTGCTTGAATTACAATGCTCTTAGCTATTCTTTGGTCAAATAAGATCTACAGGTAGACTACAGAGCTAGAGTTCCTGTCTGCTCTAATGTAGATCACACAGGCAAAATGGTTCTGGAAAATGATTTTTCTGCTTGGGCCATTCACTTGGACCTTTGATTCACTATAGTAAAGCCACACAGTAAATGCTTTATGTGGTTTGGGGAAGAAATTTAACTCTACAAGTCATATTTTAACTTTCACCTTTACTTCCATCTCTTTGAAGATGTCCTCCAAATCTATTCTCTGCCTCCTTTTGTTTCTTTCAGTGTTACTCAGCACAATCACAATATAATTTCTAAGCTTAGTTACATTTGTTTACAAAACAGGAGGATGCAAAGAAAGGAATGAGGCCACCTCATCAATGGTGATAGAGAAATTACAATAATAGTATTTGAAAAATAATTTACAGTTTAAAAGAAGTCACTTTCTTTCAGTAGGGGAACTATGAAATCTGTGAGGTTAACCATCACCTCCATTTTTACAGATAAGTAAACCAAGGGCAGAATGAAGACAAAAGCCCCTCTACTGATCTTTTTGCGATGATCATGGCCTATTTTCTTAATTATCTGATTGCAGGGAAGTGATGCCAAGGGAAATGAAAAGAAGTCAAAGAACATAAAGCAAAGAGGGGCATTTTTCTATACTGCCAGGTATGATGGAGAGGCTTCTGGCATTTGCCAATCTTGCTGCCACTCCTGCCAATGAAATGAGCTACTCTTCTTTAAGAACTTGAATGATCTCCTTTTCTACTGGGATCTTGACTGGAAGTCTGATTTGAATATTTGTGTCCCTCCAACATTCGTGTTGAAACAACTCCAATGCAACAGTATAAACAGGTGTAGCCTTTAGAGGATGGTTAAGTATGAGTACAAAAATTAGTAGTAAATAGTTTTTATGGCATCTTATATGCTGAAGATGTCCATGACGCTACTTTCCCCCAGATTCTTACATTCTAAGTAATCATTATTAGTTCCTTTTACAGAGAATATTGGGAGATGGAAATGAGGCAAGGAAGTAGGAGCTCACAAAAGGCAAAAGCCTATCTACTTATTAAATATTTGCAAGTTTTTTTTATTCTATTTCATTACTTTTGAATTCTAAGGCAATTTTACATCTTTCCTCCTTTTATAATTTTAAACACTTAACTCAGCAAATAGTCTTTTTGTCTAGCATAGAATTTCTAATACTTTCTAAAGTAGAAGGTCAGTCGTGGGGCCTGAACTGTGGGCCTGGATGCTATCCCTCACTCTTCAGCTCAAGGCTACTGCTCTACCTCTTGAGCCATAGTGCCACTTCCGGCTTTTTCTGCTTTTGTGGTGCTAAGGAATCAAACCCAGGGCCTCATGCATGCAAGGCAAGCACTCTACCACTGGGCTACCTTACCAGTCCCAGAAGGCCTAATTTTTCATCTGTACAGCCTTTTTTTGTTTGGACATTTGTATTCCTTTGATAAAAACAAATGTGACTCTCATTGTGAATGTACTGTTTATGAAACGTAAAGGAAACAGTCTATGAAATATACATTAATTATAATTAGCACATGTAGCAATTCTACTGGTTTGGATTTGAGTAGTTCTACTCAGAGGTTTAACAATGAATTGGGTAGCAAATTTCAAGAGAGCCACTCCAGATGTTAAGGGCATTGATTTACCTTCACAGTTTCCAAATCACCAGCTTTCGATGCTTCCAAGAGTCGGTAGTCCACATCTGAAGTACGTATAGGTGTGCTCTCTGAGTAAAGGAAAAGGAAGGTTACTGCTGGTCTTAGACGTGACAGGGAAGATGTGATGAGATTAAGGGGTTGGAAATTTCTGGGATGCAGTACTTCCTCCAACTTTCCCAGATCAGAAATAACTGCTTTCTTACCTCAAGCTGTATCTACCTTATCCTAAGCCAAATTAAAAAAAGAAACCCTCTAATAAACACAAATCCTTTTCTATCCCTACCATTGTATCTATATATCTATATCTATCTATTTATTTATTTATTTTTGCTCAAAACATTGAAAATGGGAGTGAGGAAAGCTAAACCAAGGGACCCAAACACCTTTTCTAATACATTTACAAAGCTTTGCCATTGATCTAGCCACTTAACTGCTATTACTCACTGGTTCATTTTTCTTTTAAGCTTCAATGTCCTCAATATAAAAGAAACACTACTCCTAAAATTAGAGTGATTGTAGAATGCATAATCAGTCAACACCGAAGCCTGCTATAGACACTGTAATGTTCACAATGACTGAATGTGGTCAGGGAAATGCAATTAAAAATGTCTGCATAACTGGAGGGTATGATACCAAAGCTAATTAGAATACTGACTAAGTAAGAGACTGACAAATGTAGATATTTTCATTAACTGAATATAATCGAAAATTCATTCTACACTGGTCCAAATAAATAGGGTCTTAAAAAAAAGTTTGTATCACCACAGACATTAAGTATGGCTTTTACAACAAGCACACCTCCACATAAAAGGGCTGAGCTTCAGAGATCAGGACATTCAGTCAGCACTTTATTATGGACAAATCATGTCATTTTCATTTTTATAGTTAAAAAGGGAAAGTTAGTTTGCCTGAAAGTCTCTTTCAGGTTTAAGACTACATTATCTTATTATCAGAGATAGCTTTTGGGTCCACTGTCCAGGTGGGAAGATCAAGTGAGACTATGAAAAAGGTTTTAGATTTCAGAAGAAATACTTCAGCTCTTCTAAAGCGCTTTGTTACAAGAATTACTTTTATAAAATCTACATTGCAAGAATTCTTCAATGGAAGATAAACTATCTGAACCTTTTAATGACACATAGCAGATAAAACACTAAGATTCAAGAGAAGAAAAAGTTAAGTTTCATGTAATAAAACAATTTTGAATTGTTCTTCATTAAAAGAGAGTACTATATTACATTTGTTAGTGTGTGAAATTGTTGAGGAAAGGAACTACACCCTCACTTATCTTCAGAAGGCATTTGCTTTTCTGTTGAGGTCAATTTGTCAAATCTTGGCTCTTTCTTTGGTTGCCTTTATTGTGTTCTTGCCTGAATCAGGTCTCCACTCTTAAGTATAATATACGATTGCATTCACAGGCAAGGATGTTTCTGCATCTATATCATGTTGCTATAACTGTCTCTGGCAGTTAATAAAACTTACTACAACATCCTGTGGATATCTGGAGGCATTTTTACTTTATCATCTGAACAAACAAAAAGAACGATTATATACATAGAGTTAAAACTTTGGATATTTTTAGATGTCAGCATTGGAAAGATACAATTAATAAGGATATATAATTTGAACTGTAAGAATTTGAAGTTGACACACCTATCTTTTTGGGGGGGTTAGGGAAGACTGATCCTTGAGCTTGAACTCTGGGCCTGGGCACTGTCCCTGAGCATTTGTGCTCAAGGTTAGCACTCTTCCAACTTGAACTACAGCTCTACTTTTGGCTTTGAAACGCTATCCTCAGGTCTCAGCCTCTTGAGTAGCTAGGATTACAGGTATGGGCCACTAGCTCCTGGCTAGGTACAACTATCTTGATGGAGGATGCCCAGTCAAGGGTGTAATTTTCCAATCAGGTAGGGTGTATTATACATATATAAGAATATTTTTTAAAACTATGAGAAAAAGTTAAAGTATTTATATTTTAACCAAGAAAGGACACTACAATTTTATAATGGCGTAAATGAAGTTAAGAATGACAAAGTAGGTTGCACTATTTCACATATAAGGACAATTAATTAAAATTTATTACCAAAAAAAATAAAAGTTATTACCAGAGAAATGATTTTTAATCTTCTCTATTTCATTGGTATTATAGCTACCATAATTCCATCTGTTCATATGAATTTCTAGTCCCCTTTGATATTACCCATGAATCAGTCTTTCGAACTAAAAAAACTAAAAGTGTGTCTCCTTCTTTTATATGAAACCTTCCTTATCTCACTAAAAGACGGAGATAGGAAAGACTACAGGTTAAAATACAAGCAAGGGAAGGTATGACAAAAATATTATGGCCAAGAAAAGCACTATAAAGAGCTACTTAAAACAAGTAGCGTCCAGATCTGGGCATTTTGGCGGAGAGGGGATAGAAAGTGTGAAGTCTAATGAAGCTCCTTTGACTCACCGCTCAGGATCTGCTGCACTGCTTCATTCCCCATCTGTGCTGCAGTAAAGCCTTGTAGGGAGATGATGGAAGGATCCGAGCCATAGCTCAGCAGGAGGCGGCAGGTCTGCAGATGACCTGCTAGTGCAGCTCGATGCAAAGCCGTCTGACCAAGGGTGTCCAGTGCATTCATCTGAAAAATCATTGGATGGGCACGTAAAACTAAAGCATCCCTTTATTCCTACTATACATTCTTTTATTCTTTTCTTTTCTTTGGCCACATAACAAAGCTGTTTATGAATACAAGAGAAAAACCAACTATGAAAGTTTTTTAGAAAATACCAGATATGCATTATTAACTTTTGCTCACTGGTTCTAAAAGTATTATCTTCTATTTAGTTATCCTTTTTGAGTAACTTATTGAAAAATCACATGCCTTTCCCTCTCCTAAATGATCATCTTCCCATTTTCTACTTCCTGACACTCTCCTTAACAACCAGAAAGATCTGCCTATCAAGTTAAATTAATTTTATTAATACAGATTGAATTATATAGAGGCTCTAGGTCTTCTAGAAGGTTCCTGATAAGGGAATGTAGTACATTTTCAGATACATGATGGTTGTTTAAAACATTTCCACTCCAACCCCTTTGCACCCCTAGGTTAGAAAAGGATTTGAGGCAATTGTTTTCCCAATTTGCAGTCTGATTACTACTAAAGCTGTCGTTCTTGTTCAGATAAGAATTCATTTAGATTCCTCATAGTTTTTCATAAAACACACCATGAGATATCAGTGTATTTAATTCCATCACATTTTCCAGCAAAAAAGCTGTTTATGTATAACAAGAGAAAAACACAATCATTAACACTTATCAATAGAAAAATTAAGCTGCCAAACTAATTTTTGTACAAATATCTTGCTATTTCAGTATAGGAGGGGAAAAAAAACTCTAAAATTATGAACATTCTAATCATTCATATTTTTTCCTAGAAATAGTAAGATATACACAAATTATTCAATGGTAAAAATAAACCCAATCCAGCTGCTTATATCATACGAATATGATTCCAAAGTCATTTCTCTAAAATATAGAACTTACCAGGTTAGGACAGCAATAACTCTCCAGTACTTTCAAATAAACTTGAATCTCTTAGTATGCCATTTAAAATCACCCCAATTGAGACTGGTGCCTACATGAAAATCATCTACTTGAAAATGGGATGATTACCAGCTTTGATTTATTCTTAGATCAAGTATTATCTTTATACAGGATACTTGTTGTATATGAACTTTTCCCTTTTACTTTTTTTCTCCTCAGCATTTTATATTTTTTAAGAAGCTAAATAGAATTTTGTCTTGACTCCATGATGTTTCCTATTTCTATCATTTTGTTCACAATCTGATATGCCTGCCATACATTCATCAATTTCATCACAAACTGATATATCTGATTACATTAGACTGGCATTATATAAGGTGTTAATTTCTAAGGTCTGGCTCAAGTTAAAATTTGCTCTTGGTCAAGTTAATCCTAGGAAACAAATTCTATGGAATAGAGAAGATGGATAAATCTACCTTTAGTCAGTTTCTCTCCAGTGTCTGAGCTTATCAATTGAATACCAAATAAAATTCATATGGTATTTTTAAACATTAAAAGATAAACTGTAAAAAGAAGATCTTTCTATAAATACTTATGTTGGAGCTGAGTACAGTATAGCAGATAGCAGATTCATATTTCTCACTCTGGAGCGATTTATGTCTTCATTCAGAATAAAAATATGATATAGTACAAATGATTAGAATTAATTTGTAAAAGGAACTGTGTAGATTTAGTTAAAAAATTTCCATTTGACAAGGACTGACTAATAACCACAAAAACATACTGCAATTTTATGTTTTAGGGATTTAAATTTTTTTGTGTAGATATTGGGACTTGAACTCAGAGCCTCTTGCTTTCCTTCAGCTTTCTTGTTCACAGATTGTGTTCTACCACTTGACCTATATCTCTACTTCCAAATTTTATGTTCTGATCTCTACAGTTCATATAGTCACTCAGTGCTTTATTTTTTTCTTTCACTATTTTTGAAACAAAATTTCCTTAAACTTAGTAAGATATACCAATATAACAAAATCCCTTTGTTTAAATAAATGTTTTAAATTACAAAAGGATAATATCCTTTCTTCAATTTCTAAAGAAGTATAAACAACGAAAGAGGGGCTGGGAAGGTAGCTCAGTGGTAGAGTGCTTGCCTTGCATGAATGAGGCCCTGGGTTCAATTCCTCAGCACCACGTAAGCAGAAAAAGCCAGAAGTGGCACTATGGCTCAAGTGGTAGAGCGCTAGCCTTGAACTGAAGAGCTGAGGGGCATCGCCCAGGCCTAGAGTTCAGGTCCCATGACCAGAAAAAATAAAAAATAAACAACAAAAGAATATCTGTACAGTGCTTCTTCAGACATCGAGGTTAAGCAGTACAGTTGGAGCTACTCAGGAGGCTGAGATTTAGAGGACAGAGGCTCAAAGCCAGCCTAGGGAGAAATATCTACAAGACTTCATGTTCAATTAGCCAGTAAAATATTTGATTAGAGGCATGGCTCACAACTGTAAGCAAACAAGCTAAGCCAAACAAGCTATGAAACCCTGAATAGATGCCTTGGTAGGAAAAAAAATAAACCAAATTTTAAAAATGAAAAAAAAAGCTATACAATCCAGTGAGAATAACGTACAACACACAGGGAAAATAGTAAGCAGGTAGTCTATGAGGGTATTGTAAAGAAGAGATTATTTTTCAGTTTAAGCCAAATGTTATACATTCTTAGGTTTTAGGATTATGAGTTTTTCCCTGTACAGTTGGCTGATAACTAGGGAAACTCCATACATCACTTCAGTAGAGTTACATCCAAGACCAAAAAGAAAGATTCACTTATTTATTTTTAAAGAAAAATATTTCCTAGAAAACTTTCCATATGCTTGTAGCAGAAATGTTTCCTAAAGTCAGGTGCCAGTGGCTCATGCCTGCAATCCTAGCTACTTAGGAGGCTGAGATCTGAGGATGGTGGTTTGAAGTCAGCCTGGGCAGAAAAGTCTGAGATATTCCTCTCTCCAATTAACTACCAAAAATTCTAGCATTAGAGCTGTGGCTCAAGCAGTAGAGCACTAGCCTTGAACACAAAAGCTCAGGGGCAATGCCTAGGCTGTGAGTTCAAGCCCCAGGACTGGTACAAGAAAAAGAAGTAAGGAAGGCAGGAAGGAAGGAAAGGTTTTTTTCAGTTATGCCTGTAAAAGTAATCAGGCAAGGAGAATGGTGGGCTACTGTTCCAGCATCTTCTGAAATGAATAAAGTACAGTCCCAACTGAACAAGGTTAGGACTAAATGTACTTTTTGTTGCCTATAAGTTAAGGATGATTTTGTTTTCAAATAGTTATATGACTATACCTCATTAAATCCTTACATGGAAAAAGGTAAAAAATTATTATGAAATTGAATTATAATGAGTCATTAAAGACCTTTAAGTTGATAGTTAATTGAGAAAAAAAGCCCAACAGTTAATGTTTCTCATTCTGTCTTAGATTTGGTTTTATCAAATACTGAAACGTTCTATCTGCCTTTGCTTTTTCTTCTGTCAGTGATGGTATATAATCAGAGCTCTCTACAAAGTGACTAACATCATTTTCCCCTCCACACATGCTGAAATAGTTCAAGGCACAGAAGTGCAAAACTGTTCTTGGCTTCCAAAGTAAGTAATAATAATTTTGTTTTAGATGGAAGCAGAAACTATCTGAAATGATACTCCCCTTTCTGGCTATCCTAATATTACTTAACAGAGTTACCTGAGAGGATTTATACTGCTTGCTCTAATTTAATTTCATAATAAAGAAGAGTGACATTTTGGGCCAATGTAATTTTATTAAGAATTATAATGATTAAGAGGAGGTTTACAGAACTTTGAATTTATTACTCTCAATTTTACTATTCTTTAAGTCATATAAGTGGCAGATGATGCCAATTCACTCTATTAGCAGGCTGGCGTATGTGGCTGCCTAACAAGTGCAAAACTCTGAGATCAAATTCTAGTAGCTTGGGGAAGGGGGGGGGAAGTACCTGGTAATAAGAATTCTTAATGTAGTTGTTATAGTGGAAGGCATACTGGTCCAAAAATGGGTCTACATCTTTGGCAGGGTGTTTAAAATTATACATGCTCCACTGACCAACTAAAACGTTATTGAAAGTGTATCATACCTCTGAAGATAAAGACAGAGAAACCTAGACCTATAGCTGACTACCTCTGGAGATAAATTACTTTTACTCTTTATTAAACCTTTTTTTCTCATATTCATAAACATTTTCTCAAGCTAAAGGGCACTGTTCATAATTTTTTTTTTTTGGTTTGGACATGGGGCTTGAACTCTGGGCCTGGACACTGTCCCTCAGCATTTCAGCTCAAGGCAAGCATTCTACCACTTGAACCACAGTGCTACTTCCAGTTTTCTGAGTGGTTTATTGGAGTTCATTCATGCCCAGATGGCATTGAACTGTGATCCTCAGTTCTCAGCCTCCTGAGTAGCTAGGATTTCAGGCATGAGCCAAAGATGCCCGGCATTATTCATAATTTTTAAAGAGCATTATAAATGCTATGAAATAATTCAAAAACAGTCAATGAGAACCATGATGCTCATAAGTGTAGGAGAAAGCTCACTTAGCAAAGTGTTTTAAGCCTACTATTAAAACAATAATGTAATAAGTAGCTGTACCTAAAAAATAAGCAAGAAGCCTGTACAATTTTGTTCCCTTTCATTTTAGCTCAGTGTAATGAAATTCAATATATCAAAGTCCCTTTAAAGGAAATATTTAAATCCCATATTCTATGGGTAAGAAAATTTCAAGAACTCTTGCAATATACATATGCATAATTCTAGCTAAGCTGTACTATAATAATGCAGACAAATATAAAAAGAGCAATCACAAATGATGAAAAAATTAAATAATTAAAATTTAAAAACATTTTAATTGCTATGATGTAAAACAGCCCTTGGCTCTATTTAAAATTTAAAATCTTATAGAGAATTATCATTAAGATTTGAGGGACTGATTATAGGTTTAGTTGTGATAGTTAGAAAATTCTATTTTCACGTTTTTAAATTACAGTTATATATAGATATGATGGCCAGGCAATACATTTAGTTTTAGCAAAGTCACAGAATATTATAAAAATCTCTATTTAGGGGCTGGGAAGGTGGCTCAGTGGTAGAGCGCTTGCCTTGCATGCATGCCTGAGGCCCTGGGTTCGATTCCTCGGCACCATATAAGCCAAAAGAAAAAAGCCGGAAGTGGTGCTGTGGCTCAAGTGCTAGAGCACCAGCCTTGAGCTGAAGAGCTGAGGGACAGCGCCCAGGCCCAGAGTTCAGGCCCCATGACTAGACCCCTCCCCCCAAAGAAAAAGAAATCTCTATTCAAATGATCATTTCTTTAAAATTTCCTTTAAAAAGTCACCTTGTTATTCATTCTAAACTGTATAATTTTTATCATTAAGAGTCTGCCCATCTTTTTGAGAAAATATCACATGCCAAGTAATAGTCTTTTGTCATCATAGAATTACTATTAAAATTTGAACCTCTTATTTTCACTGTTAATACACACTCTTTTGGATTTAAACATTTTCAAGTTCAAATCACCTTTGAAAAGTAACCATGCTTTCTTGCTCCCTCAAGTAATTCAGAATTTCAGAATATGTCATCTAGGTAATACCAATAACAATTTGTTAAAATTTTTTATTTCTGAGTATACAGGTTGAAAAAATTATTTTCAGTTTGAGAGGATAATGGAGTGTTTCAACTATCATTTACATAAATTATTTTCTGACAAACTATCATAGAAAAGTTATCTACCAAAATATACCAATTCTAGTATTAACAAAAATAATATATATATAAAATCAAAATCTATTTCAAATGACATTTTTATTGCTCTACTGCTTTCAGAAGTCTGACAATAAATTACAACAAAAGTATATTTTTTGTTAAAAATATGATTTTAATTAGCTTTTTAAGACAACCTATGAAGTTAGCTCACAGTAATCTAAGAGCAAAGTCAGTCTTCAGAGCCATCAATGGTAAGGTATATTCTGCACCATTCTGGCCTTACCTTTGCTCCATGCTTATGCAGAACCTCCATGACATCATTATGAGCTCTTTCTGCTGCAACATGCAGGGGAGTCATGAAACTATGAGGAGGAGAAAAGTAGAAGGTCATTTCCTCTCTCATTTTTGCTTAATTTCCCTAAAAGAACTGAACAACTGCTAAAACTGTACTTACTCTTTATTTTTTTCATTGACATTTGCTCCTTTTCTAAGTAACAGTTCTGTTACTTGTTTCCGTTTGGGATGCAAGGAAGCCACAGCACAGTGCTATAAAGGTGACAGAAGAACTAAGTCAATAAAACAAGTTCTATGTTAAAGATTTCTGAATTAAATAGTATGTATTTTCTGCTTAGGTCACTTACCTAGAAATATCAGAACACAATTACATGTTTTACACTATGGAGGTGGATCAACATTTTCTCTAAATACATTGCAAGTAGGAAACACTAAGTCTTCACACTAAGGTGAAATTGTGTTCTTAGTTAAGCATCAGGAGAATTTGTTAGCCAATATTTCTTTCCTTTAGCCCAATATTTAATTATTCAGCAAACAATCCACTGGAAGTGTTAGAACACTGCAAATGAATTACTCAAGCCTTCACTTGGCTATCAGTCATATAAGCCGTATTTTTCAAATCATTGCACTGATACACACCCTAAGATCAGGGCTTACATGTCCAGGGATTGGAAAGAATGTGAGTAATTTGAACAGTTTAGAGAAAGAATATTTTTAGATTTATCTTAACATTTATACAACTTTTATATTTTGCTTTTTTATATTAGTTTTTGTATTAAAATAAAAAATGACTTATAATAACCCACTAAAATGGCCACTCCAAATGAGTTGGTCAGGTTTATTTTGTGGCTTTGAATATCTCTTTGCTTAATACTGGTAGATTGAATGTAACTGTGACTCAGTTGGACTGATAGTTAGTTAAATGTAAATAGAGATGACCCACTTCGGTTTGGTGAATCTTTTTTTTTTTTGGTCAGTTGTAGGCCCTTGAACTCTGGACCTGAGTGTGGTCCCTCAGCTCTTTAGCTCAAGGCTAGCGCTCTACCACTTGAGCCACAGTACCACTTCCTGGTGAATCTTTTAATAGTATTTTCAGAAGACATTGACTAAAGTTTGACATCTATGCCACATATGTGCAAGGATGTTAAATAAACTTCTTTGAACCATAAAAGATATAAAAGTAATTTTTTTAAAAAAGCAACTGCCAAAAAAAAAAAAAAGAATGTTAACTGACATATAAAGGTCCAAGATAACTATCACATACGCTTAAAGTTCTGAATTCAGAAAGGATCACTAACCAGCGATTAAGCAAATCTTTCTGAGAGCATATTAGAATATATATACATATGTATGTATATGTGTATATGTGTATATATGTATGTATGTATATAGCTATGAGGGCAATTTGTATAGCCTGGGATAGAAAATTATTTGTAACTATCATCTTTCCACACAAATACAAACAGTTATCTGAATACATTTGCTCACAAAGCTGGCAAGTATTTCTGAAAATATACTTTAATTTCCTACAGAAAACAAGTACATTATTTTATCTAATAAACATACACATAAAGAAGATTCTATCAGGAAGACTGCACTTTATATTTTATGGAAGAATTAGCCAGAAAGGCAGACTTAATACACTAAGCTTGGGTAAAAACAAAGATAAAATCATTTCCAAATCAAGAACCATGCCCTGAACCAAATTTAAACAACAGTGCAACCAATATCAAAATGCAAATTCTTGGCATTTCAGATAATAAAGCTACTTTCAGATTTTGGGAATGAAAAGCATTATTTTGTGTTTGCACTACTACTAGATCCAAGGAATGGATTAATAATAAAAGCTTACCAGTGCTGTTTCATGAGACTGTGGTTGTTTGAAATTAATGATCTCCAAAGCGAGTGTTTTTTTAACTTTGGCTAGGTCTGCTTCTCTAGCTGCTTGTAGTAAAGAATGACCTTTGAATTCATCTGTCAATGAAATAATTGACATATAATAGTTTAAAGTTCATTTTAAAAAACCTGCTGGGCATAAAAATATGCACTTAAAACCCTAGCACTTGGGACTGAGGCAGAAGGGTTATAAAGTTCAGAGAGACTAAACTGGGTGATATTGTGAGATCAAGGCCAATATGGACTACAGAGACCTTGTTTCAAAAAAACAAAAAAAAAATTTAAAAAATGCCTACTGTGAGTAGGGAAATTATTAACTTTATATCTCCCTCTATTATACCTAAAGCAGTAGTACAGCAATGTAAAGGATAAAGTACATTACTGAAAAGTTTTGGCATATGTATGCTCTGAAATAAGACTTCATACCTCAGAATTCATAAAGATTCACATATAAAGACATTTTTATTACAACGAAGTTTTAAAAATAGGCAACCTAGATAGTCTCCAAAAGGAAGCTAGGTAAATAATTTGTGAACACACACAAGGGAATATTTTGCAGTTCATAGATAAAACAAAATAGGATAATATATATTGACAAAATGCATACATAAAAATTCAAGTAGCAAAGAATAGGCCGGTCCATTTTTTTAATGCTACTGTTATGCTTCTGCTTCTATTGTCATAACAATGCAAAACATTCAGAGATGCAGAAGACATGTAGAGAAATATTCATCAAAATGTTAATAATGGTTATGTTTTCACAGAGGACTGAAATACATGAGAATTTCTGTAGTTTGAAAGTTTTTCAAAAAATAATTACTATTTTATTATTTTCAGACATAAGTGAGACTTAAAAAACACATCTAAATCATTTGCATAAATAATTTTTTAAACACACAGATGGTGTATGACTTAATATATTGTTTAACAGTTACAAAGGCTTGTGGTTGAATAGTACTATGCTTTTTCACATCTTTCCATTCTTCTGAGTGCTTGATCACAATCCTTCTTGTAAAAGACAGAGAAAGACATTGCTACCAACACCAGTGCACGTGTACTGCATACTTTATTCTTTAATGATTATATTTGGAAGATCTTAGATTCTCTGAATAAGCCTTCCTGACCTCCTGTATTATTGAGTTAGGGCTGCCTGTGAGGCTCACAGCAGTTGCCTTTAGCTTTAACACAGAATGCATTAACATATCAAATGTGCTACAGCAGACTTTTTCCTTAACAAAGTTTGTCATGTCATAGTCTCAAGAAATATTTGTTGCACAGCTAGTATTTGTATAATAAGTTATAGCAAGTTAGGAAAAGAATGATTTTTATATAATTCTTATTCAATGGCTCTTTATCACTGCTAAATTCCTCAAAGTACATGACTTGGGGCAAAAAAAAATAAGGAAATTTAAATGCAATGGATTTCAGTTAATAATGCATCAATATTGATTGATCAGTTGCTGCAAATGTACCGTACTAATGTAACATGTTCATAATATAGGAGAACTGGATGTGGGGTATATGTAAACTCTATACTAGCTTCCTAAATGTTGTATATCAAGCAAAATATTTATTTAAATACTATTTATATATGTATAGGCAATATGAATCAGTAACTGTGAAAATTATTTCCATGAGATCATCTCATTTAAATCTAGCTATGTGATTATACTTGGGATATAGCACTCAATAAAAAAAAACTATGATTGCACAACTTTGCAAGGCTTGGGAAATAATGAGCGCTCAGTGTTAGGAAGCATCTATTATCAGTGGCACAAGAAGATAAGTTCTCTAAGTTCAGAGATCTGAGCTCTGATTTGTCCACTGCTATATTCCTAGTGTCTGTCACATAGTTAACAACTATAAATGGTTGTTGGTGACTCATCTTCATCAGCCTAAAAGAAACAAAAAGTAGCCTCAATGTATGAATTAGAATTCATTTTGAGTAAACGTAGAGTATATATAGTATGGATATTTAAGGTTCTTGGAATTCATGAAGAAGAGTGTATGATTAGAAATGAGGATTATAAATCAATCCTAATAACTAAACAATGATACTCCAAATTTATAGCTAGATACTGTCCTTAGCATAGTAATACATACAAGTCAGTCTCTCCCGGAGCTCAGGAGTCGGAGCCATATCCACAGCACTTTTGCCATGACAGTTGACTAATGTAGGGTCAGCACCATGGCTAAGTAACAGAGAGCAGACTTCTACACGATTTTTGGAAGCAGCCTCATGCAGAGGAGTAAACTGCCAGAGATCCATAGCATTAACACAAGCTCCATGCTGAATTGAGGAACAAAGTTTTATGTTAGCAATCATTTCAAAGGATTAAATTAAACTTATAAAACATTTATTTCATTGGAAATTTCTGTTATAACTTTTTGAAATATGATTGTTTTCAATAACAACTTAAGTCAACTAACTGTTTAAAAATTCTTAAGCAATAAAAATACTCTCAACAACCCTCTTTTGCAAAAATCTTATTGGTCAAAATACGCAGGAACAAGTTAAAGAAAAAAGCAAATAGCCAAGTGCTGGTGGCTCACACTTTTAATACAGGTTACTCAGGAAGCTGGGATCTGAGGATCATGGTTTGAAGCCAGTCTGAACAGGAAAAGTCCATGATATTTTCATCTCCAATTAACCACCAAAAAGCTAGAAAAGGAGCTATAGCTCAATTGGTAGAGTGCCAGACTTGAGCAAATGAGTTCAAGCCCCAATACCACCTCCAAAAAAGAAGCAAATGATACCCCAAATTTTTAATCTCTCTCACCTTTAGTAGCAGTTCTGTGACTTCATAATGTCCATATGAACACGCATTATGAAGAGGCACAAGCCCACTAAATGAAAAGAGGCACATTAAAATGTCAAACATTTATTTGTGAAGTGCTAAAACAAAAAAAGTGAATAAATTCAACCATCATTATATAAAAACCCTCTAAGTACTTAATAAAATAACTCAGAGTATAGCTATGTTCATACTTTCCTTCATTGCTCTTGTATATTTGGTATAGTCCTTACAAATGATGGTAAATACCGATTAGAAGAATGGTGACATAAGAGGAAGATCATGTGATAATAACTGCATGCTTTATTTATCAATTATGTACAGGAAATGTTAGTTGGCAGTGAACAGAAATATTCCTACAGTTTGAATTTACTTTCATGGCAATTTCCAGTATAAGAATTAAATATCCAAACTACTATAACTCAAATATCAAAAGTATTCTAAATGAGTAATAAAAAACAACAACCCTTTTCTGTGGTATATTTCTCTTGATGACTCACCTATTGTACACTCATCTGTTTTCAGATATGTATAAAGAAACAGGATGGATAAGAACACCAGGCATTTTTGCCCCTATTCTCATTAGATACTGTTCACATATGGCACTAAACCCAGCAAAGGCAAAGGAGAAACAGCACAGAAAAGAGCAGATTTGAAATGGATGGTTTCCCCTTCTCATAACTGTCTCAAGTACTGAGTTAATTTCTATGCTTCCTGATATCAAAGTAGCAGGGAGGGGGGCATCTCTTCTTTAAGCTGTCAGTCACCGGAGTGTGATATAATCTATCTCAACTGGGTAGTCAACTGTCTTAGATTTTTAAGAAAAGATAGCAAACTCAGTATCTATATTCCTGGATTCTAGGCAGAAAAGTAGAACATTTCCCCAAATTCACCCATTCATACATAAAATAAATGACATAACTGTTTTGTTGTTGTTTTCTCGTTTTTATCCATTTCCCTCTTACTAACTTATTTTCTTAGTTTAGATGTCTAACATTTCTTTAGAGGAAAAAGACTCATAGGATTAAGAGTATTGTCTATTTGGTATTTTGGTTTATTGATCTTCTAACACCTTTAGGAGTATGATAACTATGCTACAAGACTATCCCAATATTCAATTTGTTTACTGAAATATAAATTTTACTGAAATATAAATTAAGAGCTGAAAATTGATTACAATTGAGAAAAACTGTCTATAGAGATTAAACTTTGTAGAGTATCAGAAGATGAAAACAAAGTACTCCATAATGAAACCATTAACAAGAAATAAATGGGACACCTACCCTTTGTCTTTTGCATGAACATCAGCGCCATGCTGAAGGAGCAGCTGAACTATCCTTACTCTGTTGTATCCTGCTGCTAGATGTAAAGGAGTAGACTAGAAAAGAGAAAGAACAACACATCTTTTATTCAGGTAAAAAAAAAAATCTGACTTTGTTATTTAATCTGTATGTATAGATAGTTAAACACACAGCAAAAGTTAACATAAAAAATACTGGGCTGAAATGCCTCTCATATTAACATTTCATAACCAGATGAGATCATTTACTCCTGGAAAGGGAATTGCCATCTGCTATGGATTGAATATGCTTTGTCCTCACTAAAATTCATGTTGAGTCTTGGTGCCTAGCCTAACAATGTCCAGAAATACTGGGATCTTTCAGAGATTAATGGGTTTCTCATGGGAGTGAGATACCATTACAGAAGAACTAAACTAGTGGTTATTACAAGAGTGGGCTGTTATACAAGTTTGGCTTATCATTCTCTTTTGCTTCCTTTTTCTCCCTGTGATCTCTCCTTCCCTCCATCTCACAAAATACACAGTACCATAGGATGCTATCCACCTTTTGTTGTGAAGCAGCCAAGTGGCCCTTGTTAGATGCTGGTACCATGCCATCAGTATCTTCCAGTCACAAGATTGGTGAATCCAATGGACTAACACACCATCATCTACTTCCTATACTGCTCAAGGCCTTCAGTAAGCAAGCTCTATTCTGCCAATCTTATATTACGTATTTCTTTCTAAAATAAACCATTCTTGTTCTGAGAGTCATTCAAGGGACTATCTTCCTTATAACTGGAAACACGCTAAAGGAAAGATTGAAAAGTATCTCTAACAAATGATTTGAAAAAATTTTAGTTGAAACTAAAAGGACAATATACTTCATTCATTTTATACAGCTTCTAGCTGTGAGTGAATCAGTACTAATTTGCTACACTATATCCAAATGAAATATGCCAATATAGTATTTAATCTTCCATTTTATGTCTCACATATACAATATAAATAAATTGAAGTTTTTTTCTAAACCACATTTGCCATATTTTAATTTGAAACAAGTTATTAAAAGGCTCTCTGCTAAAATTTAACATAGTAATTAAAATAATCAAACTCCTCACTTTTAAGTCAGAAACAATTTTAATTAAAAACTTTTCTGTAACCATAGCAACTTTCCACCTTTGCTCATTTAAAGCTTAAATATTTTACCAGTTTTATACACAGGCTCTAATATACTTTAATGTACTTTCATTTTTTACTGTCTTCTATTTGGCCTTGGGACTTCATAAGAGTTTCAATTTATTTTATTCACCTATTCCAAATGTTAAAATACAAATAATTACTATGTACTGTACCATCCATTATTGTTTTCAGGGTACAATATTTTATATATTCTGATCATCACTAAGTTGAGAAAACAGTCTGAATACACAGCTTTTGTGAAATAGTATTTTTATTATCTTTAAGTAGTTGTAGAAAGGAGTTACCATTCAACAAACAGTTTATAAGTATAATGCACCTTGAATAATATCACCCCCTTTCAACATTCTTCCCTATCCTTTCCAACCTAACTCTTCCTCTTAGCTTCCTTAATTTCATAGGATATGCACTGAACATTATGTCTGCATTCCCCCTTTCCCCTCTTCATTCACCCCTCACACATCTCCATGGCCCTCCCCACCTTTCTAGTGCCAGTTTCCTGGCGTTCATTTTGTTGTATTAGGAGTTAGTTTTCTAAAGAATTACATTATGTAAATTCTCCCTTGCAAATATCATACTTTGGTGTACACTTGCATACATCCCCATATATGTTTACTTGTACATTTATAAATTAGTTCTAGCTTCCACATATGAGGGGGAGAAAAACACATGTTCTTTGTCTCTCTTGGCTTGACTTAATTCTTTTCCTATGAGCTTGTATATTTTTCCTCTTTGAGTTCTTTTTGTTGCTATCTTCTTTGTAACACAGATAGGATCATATTATATTGGATTTTTTCTCCTTAAATGTTATTACATAGAAGTCTTATTCTTTGTAATGGTTGCACAATGCTTCCATTGTGTGGCTGCACCATAGTTATTTGCCCATTGCCTATAAATGGTTATTTAAGTATTCCCATTTTATCAAAATGTGTCTCATTAGAAATCTATTATTTGATTAAAATAGATCAGTATTTCCCTTCTACAGATATAATACTATTTTTGTCATTAACACAAAATTCCTATGGAAATAAATAAACAACATATTCAGACCTTTATTAAATTCCCACCAGGCACTGAGACATAATTAATCTGTCAAGAAGGAAAGAGCCAAGAAACTCTTTTGAGACAATGTAGCTAAGACCAGAATCTAAAGAAATTAAAATCTAGAGAATCAATATAGGCATGAATTCATGGTAATAAATATACCTCTTTGTTGATACCTGTCTTTGAAGAGGTATTTCAATAGTACAGATAGCATTCCTTGAAATTTCTTAATTCCAAGACTATTACAAACAGCATTACAAAGTGCATAACTCAGGTAACTTGTTTACATAGCAACTACTTTTGAGGCAAACTACTGATTTTTCAGGAAAATGAAGGAATTGAAGAACAGGAAGCTAATCATTAGGGATCAAGTACACACACTCTGACATCAGAACCCTTATTCGGGCTTCCTTCTTTTCTTTTCCTTCAGAAATGGATTAGAATGGCTGAATGGCATAAAGTATTAGTATTTGCAAACAGGGATCTTTTGATTCTGAATGTTTCAGCATTCTAATCCATAGGGCACCACACATAAATACTAATATTGACAGTATGGTCAGACCTTTAGAAACTGTTGGACTCCTCAATAGAAACTGCCTAAAAATAATAAGTACAGCAGGACAAGGAGGAATCTTAAAATTGAAATTGGAGCTGAATCAATCCCATTTAAGAATGTTTCTATGGGGGGCGGGGGGCGGGGAAGATGGGAAGGGATGGGAAGGGGAAACAAAGGAGGAGGCTACAATGCTTGATAAGAAATGTACTCACTATCTTGCCCATGTAATTGTAACCCCTCTGTACAGTATTTTCACAATTAAAAAAAAAAAAGAATGTTTCTATGTATCACTAAAAGATAGTCAATGTGGTTTCTTCTTGAACTAATAATCCCCTTCAGCAACTTCACCTGCTACTTGCAGACTTCTTACCTAACTACCTTCCTATTTACCTTGTAGTTGGGCAATATTCATTCTTAAAGTGTGACACCCTAAACAAGGCACTAAACCAAAATAGGAACTAATCTAAACCAATGAATGACCTCTCTTAAGTCTCAGTTATTCATAGTGAATGTTTTAACACGTCTCGGGAGGCTGGACTATACTGTTTACAGCTTCTTCCAAATAAGATTCTATGAATTCTAGATATATTATGTGAGTAGACAGGGATAATAATTGATATTTTATAGTCTCAAGATATTTTTCCAAAGACATACTCATCTTTAGGAGGAAACTTCAGGGTTTGGAAAGGTTACAAAAGGCTATAAAACAAGCATTCCATTATTTCAAATGGAAAAATGTATTTGTTGTTGTAGGTCGCAGGGCTTGAACTCAGGGCTTGGGCACTGTCCCTCAGCTCTTCAGCTCAAGGCAAATGCTCTACCTCTTGAGCCACAGCACCACTTCCGGTTTTCTAGTACTTTATTGGAGATGAGTCTCACGGACTTTCCTGCCCGGGCTGGCTTTGAACTGTGATTCTCAGATCTCAGCCTCCTGAGTAGGTAGGATTACAGGTGTGAGCCACCAGCTCCGGGCATTAAATGTACATTTATTTTTTGTTGTTGTTTTTTTTGGGGGGTCAGTCATGGGGCTTGAACTCTGGGCCTGGGAGCTGTCCCTCAGCTCTTCAGCTCAAGGAGAGCGCTCTACCACTTGAGCCACAGCGCCACTGGAAAAATGTATTTTTAAGCAAGAATATAAAGAATTTTCTTTAAGTGTACATATTAGGAAGAAAAAAAGAAAAAAGCAATGAAAAAGAAAAGAACAGGCATCTCAAAGGGTAATCTTTGTTAGAAAAGAATTCTGAATGCCAACTTAATTCAATTTTAACTTAACATTATCACTGTGGAAACTCCAAGGGGATTCTCCAGCAGCTAGCAATTTGCATTTCTCTTTTCCAGTCTCAGCTTTCCAAAATCAGCAAAAGAACTAAAGTGTGTGAATGGAAATGAGTGTCTAGTGTACTTTCATAGAGGTCCTATGAGGGTGAGGGAGCTTGCTACTCTCAAGGTGCAATGTTAGTTTTTTGGTGTTTAACTGAGACACAGCTGTTTAGGGAAACAAGATTTCTTGGTCTGATGGTAACCTATTTCACAGCTTGAAAAAAAATGTTCACATCTTTCTATAATCAGTATTTGCAATCTTAGGTTTTCATACGCAAGTTTCAAAGATTCTAAGTAACATACAATAAATAGATGATTTGTCTATGAAAGAAGAAACAAGTTGTTTGTACTAACTGGAACTTGATTACATAGGAAGGAAACATTCTATAGTAGACTAGGTAGATCATCACTAAGTAGATTTTTAATGTAAACTAGGAGACTGGAAAATTCCTTTAATTCATCTGAATGTAGTTGAGACCTCTAGGATTTTGGAAACAGCCAAATCTAGGTTCCTTCACAGTCCTTGATAAAGTCCTTGTCGTTTCTAGATTTACACATATGAAAGCAGAAGCCAAAGGATGCCAAAACAGAGCTAATTCTATTCCTGCCCACAGCCTTCTTTTCCAATTCTAACAAGGTATTCAATCTGCTTTGAAAACAGGAGATTATTTTAATGCAAGTATTGATGGCACTCAAGAGTTAAGCATTATATTACTACTAAAAATTAAAGCATCTTTACAAAAGAAAAATTAAAATGTGAAGGACTATACATTTACAATTAGTCTCCTAAATTTACTAGTTTGGCTAGTAAAATATGCTCTTCAAAGTGACTATACATGTTATTTATAGTATGTTTTACAAGTTTACTACTGATGCCATTCTTTTTTTTTGGGGGGGGGGTGTCCGGTCATGGGGCCTGAACTCTGGGCCTGGGCGCTGTCCCTCAGCTCTTCAGCTCAAGGCGAGTGCTCTACCACTT